ACGAAACATGGATCTATTCGTATGAGCCCGAAAGTAAACAACAATCCACTATTTGGGTATTTCAAAATGAACCGAAACCAACAAAAGTTGTTCGTACACGCAGTGCTGCCAAGCAAATGATTGCTTATGTCTTCGGTTATATCGAACATGTGACAACCGTTGCTTTAGAGAATCGAAGGACTGTAAATACTGATATACAACAATTTGTTTGCCAGAAGTCATAAATGAATTACATAGAACAAACCGAAATCGTCGCATCATCCTTCATCATGACAACGCCAGCTGTCACACAGCACGTCAAACCGTTGATTTTTTATCCAGTAATAATGTCGAATTGATGACTCATTGTCCGTATTCATCTGATTTATCACCTAATGACTTCTTTTTGTTCCCAAACGTTAAAAATAAGATGAGTGGTAAGCGATTTGAGTCGCCTGAAGCAACTGTTGAAACATTTCGTACACTGATTTCTGAAGTTACAGCCTTAGAGTGGAAAAAATGCTTCGAAAATTGATTCGAACATATGCAAAAATATATCGATCTTAAAGGCGAATACTTCGAAAAACAATAAAGCCATTTACATGTTTTTTTTCATATTGTTTGCAGAAACTTTTCCAGAAGCCTACGTATCAAGTCGTGGGCCGAGAGAAAAGTTGCATTATGCTAGTGCATAACCAGTCATCTTCGTAGAATTATCAATTACACAGGGACCACGGTACTGGAGTCTCTCAAATGATGCGTTGCGGTATGGCACACAGTACAAATTTGCTAAATCAATGAAGTTTTTTAACTTTATGTTGTCGTACGTATCAGTAAGTATATCGGCATTGAAATCATCAAAAATAATAGAGTGCTTATAATTGATTTGAAAATCCAGGAATTGATTTTAAAATTCCTGCAAGTATGTATTAGGCGGTCTATATACAATACCCAACAGAAGACTCGATGCAGACCGGAACCGCACTACAGCATCCCGCCTCAGCATCAAAAATTCAGGCCGTCCATAGCATCTAGCCTCAGAGCTAAGAAGAGACGCCCCGAAGTAGCTACGATAATAAAAGGTCACCCCCACCGCCATGTCTGCCCACTGAGCAGTGAGAATCCAGGAAGATCAATCATGTCCATCACTTCAGGTCTGAGCCACGTCTCCATCATACCGATTATATGATAATCAGAGGTGATGAAAAAGTTGAAAAATTTATCATAGTGTGCCACCAACGATTGATAGTTTACAAGACAAATTTTTAAATCGTCAAGGCTTCCTATAACAGAATTGGCTATAATTGATGTATGCGATTTTATCCTTGATTCTGCCGTTCAAAATTGGACATTTACTAGCATCCGTTGCAGAGTGTATTAAGTCACTTGAAGATGAACTAGTATGCAAATAGTTGCCACATCTTGGTGGATCCATCTTCTTCATACAGTCTTTCATTTCATGCGTTCCAGAATAGTGGCCGCACATAGGCGCAGCCTTACACTCTTTAGCCATATGACCAAAGGCAAGACATCTATAGCACTGTAAAATGCGGACATGATCCGCAAACGTGCATGTAATATAATGTAGATAGATACCGTTTTTTAATAACACCCTTCGGATTATCGGCGATACCTCCAAAACACAGCTTGTAACTCTTCTATTATTTCTCGGCTTATATAAGTTTGTGACCTTCAAATCTTGGTCAGCAGCATCATCCAGATTTTGGGCAATTATTTCTGTTTTAATTTCTTCAGGTGGCATTTCCGTAGGCACTCCATGAACAATAATTCGAGGATTCACTTTAATGTTCTCTAACATCTAAATCCGACCTCCGCAAGCTCCGAGCACGACCTCAGTTTCGCGAGGTCTGATCTATTTACCTCAATTCTTATGCCCTTATTCGGAGCATACGCAATTTTATTGATTTTAAGAGCACATTACACCGGCTTGAGTACGCTAAGTACAATCCTCTTAGTGTCTCGTGAAAATACAAATTCAGCAGCATGCTTCTCGTTAAGCATCACAAAAAAACTAATAAATTTAGGTACCTTTAAAGTCGGGCCGCGAGACACACAAATCTTAGATGAACGAGATTTAACTGCAGATGCATACGAGCCTGTATAATCGCCATTATGAGCCTGTCGCTTTATTAGGTCTACTCTATCATGTTCGATCAAGGCTTCTTGAAGAGCCTTTTTAATGTTATCTACATTAGATGCATTCAGTCTCTCGTCCAACAAATTAACAAGAACTGTAAACATCTCCAAGAAAGCATCCCTACAGGCACGCAGCGCAGCATCAACCTAACCTCTCTTCTCCGCAGTCTCCTTGCTAGCTAAAATAATCTTACCACCTAGCTCACAATGCCTGTCAACAGCAACCCTAAGCGCATTCTCCCTAGAAATATTAATAGATTCAAACATAGTTTTATTAATTAAAATATTGAATGTACTAGGCCGCTTAGTAACATCGTGTTTCAGCCTCGCAGTGTCACTTCCGCCATTGCCCTCCATCGGTAATGCAGGAATCATCCTCAATATCACTTCAATACAACCACATCTGCGTTTCAGAGCTCGTGGTATGCATGCGCAAAAAACAATAGCAAGGCAGGCAGGCCGAAACCACTCTCCGTAATTCGCAGAAGACAGAAAAATCTCACATCAAAGTCAGAAATAGGCGAAAATCCAAAATTTACACAAGGTAGAAAGTCAAGCAGAAAGAACACTTGATAGTGGTCCTAAAAAAGGAGCCCGCCCAGGGCAGGGAACCCGCAGGCAGGGCCCGTCCAGCAGAAAATTATCTCACAAAACAGAGCGATATATAACGCTTATTTATATTTACGTAAAAAGAAAGAGGGAGAAAGAAAAAGAGAGAGATCACGAAAGACAGCGTACAGAAAGACGGTGCAACGCTGAGAGAATTACGATTGCATAGCATATGTTGGTTTTCTAGTCTTCGTAAAAGGTAAAATTGAGCCATTTATAATTTTATATAATAAGAGTATAATTTATTGGACTATGGAATTACAATTTGTAATTATATACACACTTTGCCACATTTAATTTAACCTAAACTTAACCTAATCTAATAATGCGCTGCGGTAACATTTTGATGCTTTATAGCAAATTCACTGCTTTAAAAACATAAATTTACTGTAATGCAAATTTATACAATTTTTAGAGAAAAATATTTTTTATTTCCTAATCCTAAAATGAAATTAATTTGCAGATACCGATTTGCAATTTGTTGCGTACCTTACCGACAGCTTAGCTTCCCTAATGAGGGAAGGGATTCGAGTAATCCCGTGCATGTTTGAATAATTTCGGATGAGGACAACTAAATTCCCAGATCACGTGATCGAAAAGCTTCGAGAAGACATTTGCGTTCCAACAGTCTCGCGAATAACACAAATTGAAAGACAAATATAACATACACGTCGATTATACTAACGCGAGTGAGACGAGATTGTGCAATAAATCTTAGCGCAATAAATACTTTCAAAATAAACACACAGTTATCAATTGAGGCGGTTTTTTCATAAATACATCCGCATCGGCCGTGATTTTAAA